ATCCCTCTCTCTACACGCTTTATATAACATATTTCTAGGACAAGAGCTCCGCTAAAAGCTGTAAAGAGCATTTGTAAGCAAGTGCAAAAACAATTGCCTGAGAGCTCTGCTTCACCCATAATACAGCTGATGCCAGATATAAATACACTTCTGCCACGGCTTGTAGGCTCAGCACAGCATTCAGACTTCTTTTATCGAGACAATTTGTGTATTCATATGTGCGTCCATGGCTGGCTGTTATTATAAGTCCCAGAGAAGGGTGCAGGGTGTCCCACAGAGAGGTGAAACCTGATCTTTTATTAAATGGAAATTATATTCGGCTTTTTGTATAATGTAGACACACAAAAATTATACAAACTGCTATAACTGGGCTACATTAGTGTCATTGTGCTGCTCATAATACACTGTAAATGATCAGACCTGCCACTCAACAACTGTGCTGTGTCTGCCAGCATAGGCCAGATGTCAATGAGGACACCTGTAATGTACCTGCCAACACATGTCAGATAGTAGTGGTAACACATGTAATGTACCTGCCAACACAGGTCAGATAGTAGTGGTAACACATGGAATGTACCTGCCAGCACAGGTCAGATAGCAGGGGTAACACATAGAATGTACCTTCCAGCACAGGTCAGATAGTAGTGGTAACACATGGAATGTACCTGCCAGCACAGGTCAGATAGCAGGGGTGACACATGGAATGTACCTGCCAGCACAGGTCAGATAGCAGTGGTAACACCTGTAATGTACCTGCCAGCACAGGTCAGATAGTAGTAGTAACACATGGAATGTACCTGCTAGCACAGGTCAGATAGCAGGGGTAACACATAGAATGTACCTGCCAGCACAGGTCAGATAGCAGTGGTAACACATGGAATGTACCTGCCTGCACAGGTCAGATAGCAGTGGTAACACATGGAATGTACCTGCCAGCACAGGTTAGATGGCAATTGCAAATTGCAAAAGCCAATAACAGGCTGTCTCATTGCACCCACCCACTGAGCAGAGGAGTGGACCTGCTTAGTGGGCGGGGCTTAAGTAGCCATCCTGATATTGGCTAATGCAATTTGAAATAGCCAATAGCAATATGGCTATTGCTCCCGGCTGCATACATTAACCTGTCGGCTGCGGAAGTTAGCCGACATGTGATTGGGGCTGGGGCGGGAGCGGGGCACCCCGCAGGGGGGTTTTTGCTTTAGAGTTAACATTAGCTCCCAAGCAATCAGAAACGTCAATTATCCAGCAGCTACCGATCCCCATGGGTTCCAGATAACTGAGAGTTTACTATCAAGTATTTAAGAGGCACTCAATATTACAGAAAGTGCAGCCAATCTCTGGAGCTCACTAACTCTGGTGTAGCTGTTCTGAAGATAAAGTACTTCTATCCTACAAGGATACAGCAGAGTCAGTGCCCGACCAATCATAAACAAGTCCAGTGTTTGCTTTATCTCATGCCCTGAAATATTCCATTGGTTGCACTGTCTATAAGTAATCTTGATGGCGGTGCTATTTTGAGACCTCTTTATTACTTCCAATGCACAAGCCCTGATGAAGGGGGGATATTTTGAGTCCCTGAAATGCATTAATGGATTATTACAATTCAACTGGACTTGGTCCAGTAATTTCTGCCACATATCAGATGGCAGAGGAAGCACCTGCAATGTACCTGATAGCACAGGGATAAGTTCTGTGACTCTTAGCAGAGTATCAAATCTTAGGGAATCTATGTAGAGTAAAAAATCATTTTATATGTCTATATTATATCATACCTGTATAATATGAAATCTCAGTGAATCTCTGTACAACATACTATGGGGGGAATTTATCAAAACTCGAGGAGACAAAATTTGGAGCAGATTTACACGGCAACCAATCAGCTTCTCTGTCTCATTTTCAAATCTTACCTGAGCAAGCTGAGGGGCGATACTGATTGGTTGCCATGGGCAACTGCTCCAGATTCCGTCTGATCCCATTTTGATAAATTCCACCCTATGAATTTTTTAAATGTCACACACTGCAGCGTCCACAATGCACTGTTGTGACCCGTGTTAAGTTCTGCCTAACTGTATAAAAATGCATCTGAATTCCCATCTCCAAGATCCGAGAAATAATGCTTAATGGATTTGTGGATAGCTTAGTGAAGAGGTAGGTATATATAAGTAACAAGAGTCTACAAGTCAAGTAATGTAAAGCTTTTATAGCTTATTGACAGATCTGAAAATGATATACAGTGAGAGTTTTGTATTTAAGGCAAAATATGTCCCGTCTTGGTAAGCATATTCTAATGTTAATTTTTACTTTAATATATCGGTTGAAGGATTGAGTGTGGGGTTACTACAAAAGGGCACACCGTTCACATGCTCGCAGGGCAGAGGGAATGCTATGTCCTTGAGAAGGGGACAAATATCCATCGTGCCATTGACTTACCACAGTTCTGTGAGCCTTTATGAAGGGAAAAAAATTATATAAATATTTTGCTATCTGTAGAATAAACTATTTTTTTGTCATGAAAGATATATAAGAAGTATTCAGTTAAAAATAATGTTTGCCATAAGGGGAAGCACGATTAAAATGGCCCAATTTTAAAATGTTTAAAATTGTTATGCATGTGGTGTGTATGCCATGGCTAATATAATTTGTTATACATTAAAATATTGGTTGAATATGATATTTTGTCCTTTGTAAATGGACCTCTATATCTGATTTCTGGATGCCCCAGCCCAGTCAGGGGAAGAATTTCTTGGCTTTCCTCTTCTGACATGGAATTTATCTTCTGGAACCACATAAAAAGCCTACCATAGCTTCAACTCTCTTTGTGCTGAACTGCCCACTGGTTGAAAAAAAAAATCACCACACCAGTCACATAAAGTGTATTCATAGCAAAAACGTTTTTATTTTCGGTTTGGATAGAGTTTGGGAACGTTAGAATATGTATCACATTTTTATTGCTGTCTATAATCCCACTGCTGCCTATTTGTGACCATTTTCACTGAAGGGAAATTCCACATTTTAGAACTGTCTCTAGAACAAGAGGTGAGGGAAAATCTTCCAATAGGGACACCTGTTGCAGTGACAAGTAAAGTGTACACAGAGCAAAAACCTTTTTACTTTAGGTTTGGATAGAGTTTGGGAGGGTTAAAAACATGTCTCAAATTGTTATTGCTGTCTATATTCCTGCTAGGTTGATTCACCCCTCTCTTTGTCCTGTGACCATTTTCACTGGGATATAAAATGAAGGGAAATACCCAATTTTTAGAATTGTTGCTAGAACAAGAGGTGAGGGTAGATCTTCCTATGGGGACACCTGTTCCAGTAGCAATTCAAGTGTATGCAGAGCAAAAACTTTTTAATTCTAGGTTTGGATAGAGTTTGGGAGGTTTAGAACATGTCTCAAATTTTTATTGATGTCAATATTCCCTCTAGGTAGATTCACCCCTTATTCATAGCAAAAACGTTTTTATTTTCGGTTTGGATAGAGTTTGGGAACGTTAGAATATGTATCACATTTTTATTGCTGTCTATAATCCCACTGCTGCCTATTTGTGACCATTTTCACTGAAGGGAAATTCCACATTTTAGAACTGTCTCTAGAACAAGAGGTGAGGGAAAATCTTCCAATAGGGACACCTGTTGCAGTGACAAGTAAAGTGTACACAGAGCAAAAACCTTTTTACTTTAGGTTTGGATAGAGTTTGGGAGGGTTAAAAACATGTCTCAAATTGTTATTGCTGTCTATATTCCTGCTAGGTTGATTCACCCCTCTCTTTGTCCTGTGACCATTTTCACTGGGATATAAAATGAAGGGAAATACCCAATTTTTAGAATTGTTGCTAGAACAAGAGGTGAGGGTAGATCTTCCTATGGGGACACCTGTTCCAGTAGCAATTCAAGTGTATGCAGAGCAAAAACTTTTTAATTCTAGGTTTGGATAGAGTTTGGGAGGTTTAGAACATGTCTCAAATTTTTATTGATGTCAATATTCCCTCTAGGTAGATTCACCCCTTTTTTTTTTTTCAATTTTCACTGGGATAGAAAGTGAAGGGAAATCCCAAATGTTAGAATTTTCTCTAGAACAAGAGGGGAGGGTAGATTGTCCTATGGAGACACCTGTTCCAGTAACAAATACATTGTATGCAGAGCAAAAAGTTTTTTAATTTTAAGGTTTGGATAGAGTTTGGGAGGGTTAGAACATGTCTCACATTTTTGTTGCTGTCTATATTTTCGCTAGGTAGATTCACTCATCTCTTTGTCCTGGTGACCATTTTCACTGGGATAAAAAAAATGAATGGAAATCCCAAATTTTAGAATTGTCGCTAGAACAAGAGGTGAGGGTAGATCTTCCAATGGAGACACCTGTTCCAGTGACAAATAAAGTGTATGCAGAGCAAAAAATTCAAGGTTTGGATAGAGTTTGGGAGGTTTAGAAAATGTTTTTATTGATGTCTATATTCCTGCTTGGTAGCTTCACCCCTTCTTTTTGTCTTCGTGACAATTCTAAAATTTGGGATTTCCCTTCACTTTCTATCCCAGTATTTTTACTGGGATAGAAAGTGAAGGGAAATCCCAAATTTAAGAATTGTCATTAGAACAAGAGGAGATGGTAGATCTTCCTATGGGGACAACTGTTCCAGTGAGAGGGCATTTTCCCTTTTGCTGTAGAGATATCCTCTTACTTCCTGTTGCGTCTCTGGGGGGAAATTTCCAACTAAACAGAGAGAACAAAAATAAACTGACGGGGGTTTTAACTTTTAACCCTTACTACTCTAGCCAAAACTAAAAATAAAGTTTGCACGCACTTTTATTTTATAGGTCATTCTGCTCCCCTCCCTTCTTTTATCATAGGAGTTAATGACATTGCTGGTGCCTTGGCCCATGGTACAAACTACTCTGTGCGCCAATTTAAGCTAATCTTGCTTTGTTCCATGTTAAATTGAAAAAGAATATTACATTTATAAAGAATAACAACAGTAAAAATGTTCCTTTTTCTTTTTTTGTAGCTTGCAAACGCAAAGAACAAGAACCGAGCAAAGATCGAAACAACAGTCAGAAGAAATCCCGGCTGGTTTTCACAGACCTCCAACGCAGAACACTGTTTGCCATCTTCAAGGAAAACAAGCGTCCATCCAAAGAAATGCAGATCACTATTTCTCAGCAGTTGGGTTTGGAACTCAATACAGTCAGTAACTTCTTCATGAATGCCAGGAGACGGAGCTTAGAAAAATGGCAGGACGATTTAAGTACAGGGGGAAGCTCATCAAACTCCAGCACTTGTACCAAAGCATGAGGGAAAAATGGCTTCTGAATGGGGTACAACTCAACTGTAAGCAAAAAAAAAAACAAAAAAAAAAAAAGAGAAGAAAGGATTTATATAAATATATATTTTTTGTTGTGGTTGGCGGGGCCATTCACTGGTGACAATCGGTATCCATGTGTATATTCTACAGGGCTGAACAGTTCAAGTATTCATGCCAGATGGCAGCGCTGGCTTTGGCACCTCTGACGCCACGGTGTCAATGAAGACAGGGTGTCAGTACAGGAAAACCATCCTACCCATCCAAAGTTCCTTCAAAGTCTAAAAGCTCTCAGAAACTCCACCAAAGCACTAGGCTCATTCCAGGTCTTCACATCATATTACTGGCCAGACCGTGGCATCAGCTGTGACATGTAAACCAGCAAACCTCACTGATACGTTCAACTCTATCCATAGCACAAGAAAAGATTACGACCACTACATCCATGAAACACAACTGTCATACCTGAGCACAAAATCCTTAAGCTGCATAAAGAAAGGTTAAAAAAAAAAAACACTCCCCACCTTCACTTTCATTTATTTCCTTACATTTATTTAGCATGGATGTTCACAAACCACAAAATACAGTTAAAAAAAACAAACCAAAAGTACAGTATTAAGCACAACAGGACATATATATTCCAAAGATAAGATTTATTCTTTATCAAAAACATCAAAATGCTTTTATTTTTATTGTTTTCCTAATTTTGTTTTACAAGAATCGGTACACACTCAGGAGCCCATTATATCCACACCATATGGAGTATTTTTTTTTATGACAATGCTTTTACCAAAGATAGATCTATGGATCACATTTTATTTTACCTATTAACGCTTACAATATTGTGACAGGTCTGGAAACAGGACTTATTTTCAAGGACCCCCCCCCCTTCATCTGGAAACATTTAGCACAGCTTACAGTGAAAACAGTTGTAACCAAATGAAAACAGTTGTAACCAAAGAAAAGTAAAACGTAACGTTTTACAGCTTATTCATACTGTGAATACTTCCGAAAGTAAGAAGTAAGTTTACACTACAAACCTTCATACCAAATGTTTTCTTTCGTTTCCGGGACGTAAAAGTTCCTACTCATCCCGGAGAATTGTCAGAACCTGATCCTTCCGTGCGAAATCAGATGTCACGATTTCCATGGAGCTTTAACCAGTGGATGGCCCCCCATTGCTCGAACACTCGAGTCTGTGTTCCAAAGAAAGGCCAAAGGCTACAATAATGCTTTAAATACACTTGAGACTGTTTTTTTTATGTACTACTTAATCGAAACCAAAGAAACTTTTTTTTCTGCACCTACTTCTTCTGCAACAAACTGTTTAATTTAGTAAAAAAAAAAAAAAAAAAGGAAGCACGTCAGGAAAATTATTAACACACTGTGTTTGGACAGACATCCTACACATCTTAGGAAGCAGACCACTGAGATAGGGTTGACAAGGGTTGAAAACCAAACAAAGGCCGAAAATTCTACAGTATGTACTCGCTGCTTCATTTGACAACCTATTTAAGTCCTCTTAAAGTTGAAGATTGTCTTTTATTTGTGCCTATGCAGTTTTTTCAATGAACAAGGAATTGACCGTCCTGAACCTCAACAGCTGCAATACCAAAGATGAGGAGTTCTCACAACTGTTTTTGTTATTTTTCTTCTTGCTTTCAGATTCATAATTCTCTTCTTGCACGGCTAAATTGCTTGCAGTGCCACCATTACCATGTATAGTAACAGCACATCTGTCTGGCTGAGTATCAATTGGTCCATTTCACGGTTTACAGATCATATTTCCACTTCCAGTACTTCACGATAGGGTACTATGGACCACTGGCCTAAGTGGTTGGGATATAATAGGTTGTGGGTGCGTGTTTGTGTTCAAGGAGATCTGTTGCGTAAGAGAATTGGTGGCAGACGACTTTGTTTGCTGAGTCAACTTTTGCGACTATCAGCTTCATTCAATAAAGAGTTCTAATTCTTAAAGTGACTCTAAAGTCAGGAGTTTAATCCTAAAAATACATTCAAGTATCTTAACTATTAACAAAAATGTATCTTAAAATGTATCTTTGTCACTCGGCTGTAGATCCTCAAATCATCTCTGAATTGGTGCTGACACTGTCCTTCCTTCTGGAGGGGGACTACTTTTGTTCCCCATGATACCTGTGTGTGTTGTAAAGTAGTCACCGCTCCAAGCTCGCTCCTGTGATGGACTACAATCTCATGTTTAGTCCCAGTCAGGACACTATCTGCAAGGAGTTTGCATGTTCTCCCTGTACTTGTTTGGGTTTCCTCCGGGTACTCCGGTTTCCTTCCACACTCCAAAGACAAGCTGGAAGGTTAATTGGCTCTGGTCTAAATTGTTCCTGAATGTATGCATGTGAGAGAGGGACCTTAGATTGTAAGCTCCTTGAGGGCAGGGACTGATGTGAATGTGCACATGTAAAGCGCTGATTAAATTGTCAGCACTATATAAATACCTGTAATAAATAAATACTAATTTGTATTGAGATTGTAGTCCATCACAGGAGGGAGCTTGGCGCGGTGACTTTTTTATAACACAGACGGGGAACAAAAGTAGCCCGCCTCCAGAAGGAATGAACAAGATCAGTGCTAAACTGCTATATCACACTTGCACTGTGGGCATAAGAGCACTGATGTATGTGTGGGCAGCCACTGTGATGCCAGAATCTAACGTACAGTATTGTAGGCGAGACATGTTCATTCAGATTCGGACGAACCTGCAAATTCAGTTGATTTGGCGGTTCTTCCGAATCTGAAATAACACATTTATTATATGTCTGAATATACTAAAACTTTATTCGGGCATACATACATTCATTTGTAGCCACCCTCCAGAAGGAAGGACAGTGTCAGAGATGAGGATCTACAGCCGAGTGATACACAAATAAGATACATTTTTGTTACTAGTTAAGGTATTGAATGTTTTTTTTAAGATTTAACTCTTGAGTTTAGTGTCACTTAAAGTGGAGTAACCCATCAGAATCCATCTTGTACTGGCCTGTCTTCAGCAGAGCGAATTCTAATTGGTTTTGGCAATTTAGAGTTGCACCAATATCTTGAATAAGGCTTCTAATTAGCAGGTTGCAACAATTTAGTCACCTCATCAAATTTTGTATGTTGCAATTGAAATTTTTTCAGGATAGACTTCTCTGCTATCTTAACATTCAAAAAGTCTGCCTCAAGTCTTCATAAGCAACAGACCCGTTCTAAGGTTGTCCAGCACTCACAACTTCCTCACAGAAGGGGAGGAGTTTGGAGAAGTGAACAATCTAGGACAACATAGCTGATTTGTAAACATTCTCTAATTCAGCTCACTGTCCAGTTCAGCTATGTTATCCTAGATTGATCACTTCTCCGGCCTTCTCCAAACTCTTCACACTTTTGTGAATAACCCTGTAAATGTTTTCAATACAAAAATATTCATTTGTCAATTCATTTTGCAGTGTGAGGGAAATGTTAGCTAACCCTACGGGCCCCTCGTACATTTTGTGGCCATGATAAGCCACTACAAATATTGGAGATGCTAATTTCCTTGAAAACCGTTAGAATGATATGTTAGCAATGTGTCTTTCAGGCCTTGTTCACACCGAAAGCGTGTGTGAGAGTGGTAGCTGCTGGAATGCACCGCGATCGCTGAGAAACCTTCCCCGCGTTTTGGGGCGGGAGGGGACGTGGTGGTGCATTGAATGGCACCGATTTTGCCAGCGTTCCGTTCCACTGCAAACGCAAAAAATAGGGCTTGCTCAGCGATCGCGGTGCGTTCCAGCAGCTACCGCTCTGGAACACACACACTTTCTGTGTGAACTGAACAAGGCCTCAGGGTTACCAAGGCTTTTATCCCATGAATGTGTGATCATGTTTCTGTTTTTAGAATAATATGTGAATTCCTCGAACGTTGAGGAAGCAATATTGCTACAGAGTGTATCAAGCACTGGCATCTAAAGGTGGCAGTTCCTAATCTATAATATCCCAACACCTTAGGCCAAACCTTGTGGTCTATATCATGGGCACAGCCAAGATTAATTCAACTTTCAAGAAACCTTGGATATTGCTTAGTCATCCACAAAAAAGAACAAAGTAATATGTTTATTCACTATGGTTGAATAGCTTTATTGAAATCTCTCTTAATGAAAGCTGAATCCAAAGACCTGACAATGACTAAACCAGCAGAAAAAAGAAAAAAAAGCTTAAACCTGCTTATGCTATATAATCTACTTTTTACCAAAGCGCTTGAGCTTCTGAAGAACCTCTGCAATGGAAAAAAAGAAAATAAGTAACATGTTATTTGCTTGTCACAGGAATTTTTCTAGGTTATGAAAATATTTTTGGTTACATTGGCTATTTATTTATTGTTTTGATTAATATAAATTTTAATTATTTATCATATGAAATAATTAACCAAATATTTTTTAAAGAAATCCTCCCTTACCCCTAATCCCCGCCCCGCTTTTAGGGGGGGGTTTAAAATCCAGATAACATTTAATTTATTACAATCGGTGTTCTTATGTGTTAATTTAATTTAATTTCTTGTAAGTTACTCTGCTTATTTATCTAGGATTAAAAAAAATTACAGCATCAGCAATAGTTTCTTATTCCAACAATTTTAGTTTGCTTTACAAAGCAGTTTAAATTCTGTTACATACAGGGGTTGATGCAGGTTACAAAAACACAAAAATGTTTTTCTTTTTCCCAAAATTTTATTTAATTTTGCAATGTCTTTTTTTTTATGATCTGTAATTAAATTATTTAAGTTATCTTCCCATTTGTTAGAAACTGGGAGAAAATATTTTGGCATATTATGTCATAGGCAACTTATTTATTTAATTTATTCAGCATCCTTGGAAAAAGATGCGCATGTATAGTGTATATTTTTTTTTTCAAAAACTTAAGCACTAAATTATTTGCTGATCAGAACAACAGAAGTGACGTTTGTGGACAAGCATTGATCGTGACTTGAAAGCTGTATATTTCAAATACA